GCCTCCCAGAGTGCTAGGATTACAGGCGTGAGCCACCGCGCCCGGCCTGACTTCTACTTTCTTGCTGAGAAAATGGAAGAAGTTTAGGATGATTTTTGTTGAGATAGTAAGGAGACGCTGCATAATTGAAACTAATGGTTAGGAGAAAACCCTGTGTATGTTTATGAGGGGGCATTTTTGTATACTTCTGTCACTGAATCAAAGAGAGGGTCAAGTTAATTCCATATCCAAATTAAATTTATGATTTTCAAAGATGCCTGAATTATCTAACAAAATCTAACCATCATTTAAAATTGTTTGGTAATTGTGTCACTTTAGGTGGAGGGAGGTAAACAAAAATTACAGGAAGTTGTTGAATTCTTGAAGAATCCACAAAAGTTTATTGTGCTTGCAGGTAAACTTCCAGAAGGTAAGATATCTTCCCTTTACCATGGTTTGATGTCAAAAAATGCTGTAATATATTACTAATTTAATTTTATCAGATTTCAACTGATTAAAGTTTAGTTCTCAATTGCTATTTTGCAAAATAGATGCTCATTCTGCATATACAGTTCTACAACCTTTTCTGGTACTTACAATTTTTACATAATTACAAACTTTAAGTAAAGTTACAAGAATAGTACAAAGAGTCATATCCTTAACCCAGTCTCACCAAATTTTAGCATTTTGCCACATTTTTTTATCATTCACTTTATGCCTTTACATACTTTGTCCAATGTTTTCTCACAGTTACTAAACATGATTTTTAATGATTTCATGGCATCCTTCTAATTTATGGTTGTATCATAATTTATCTAACCATTTATGTTGACTTTTTTATGGTTTCCAGTTTTTCGCCATTAAAAATAACTCTATGAGAATCATCTTAACTTAAGGCTTTGCCCAGATGCTTAATTATTTCCTTAGGATAAATTTCTTGAAATAGAATTGCTGAGTTAAAGGATGAAACTCTTTTGTAAGGCTTGTTTTTATTCTGCCAAATATCTCTACTGAGAGATCAGCCGTATGTGAGATGGTTTACATGACCCTTTGCTACTTGAGGACACATTTATTAAGTCAATGCTGTGATCTCATACAGTGAGTGTTTAAAACCATGGAAGTAGTTACACTCTACCTCTTTGTAATCATGAGGAATATTTTATAAATTTGTTGAAAAATCCTCAGGTACCTATATAATGTACAGAAATTTATATAACTTAAACCAGTTAGGTATTACTAAAACATGGCAATACTAGGGTAGTCTTAAGGCTATTATTTGAGCCTTTTTTTAAAAAAATTTTTTTATGTTAAAACACATTTTTATGTTAATACAACTTTGTTGCTTTTTTATGTAGTTTGTACATTTATAAAAAGTTATATATAAATTAGGGATTTCTATTTTTCTAACTAATATGAAAAACTTACAGTGTTATGAAAATTTTGAAACATGTGGAAAACCTTGAAGAACAGTGCAATTAAAATCCATATACTATCCACTTAGATGCCACGCTTGTTAACATTTTATCATCTTTGCTTTCTGTGTGTGTGCATTTTTCTCCCCTAAACATTTGAAAGAAAACTGTAAACATCAACTACTTTACCTCTGAATACTTTGTTATACATCACCTGAGAATACGGATATTATCCTAAGTAAACATAACAATCTTATTCCACCAAAGAAAATTAAATGATTTCTTTCATATCATGTACTCTCCATCTTTTTTTTTGAATTTTCATCAAATGACCTTAGAACTTCTTTGCCTTTTTTTTTAAGAAGAATCATCAAGTTTCATGCATTACATTTGGTTGTTTGTTTAGTCTTTTAATCTGTTGTTGCTGTATTTTATCCTGCTTATTTAGTGATAAATGGGTTTATATTCCTTTGCCTCAAGACTTGTGTCCTGTCTTGTGTGTTGCTGATATGTAAGCAATATTTAAATGACACAGGAAAATTAGTTTTGGAGAAGATTCTGAAGTGAATCATTAGCAGAGACAGATATGTTTTGCTTTGCTTCTAAATATTGGTTATTAGTGTGCCTTCTACCTCAACATTATATAAATTAATAAATATTTGTTTTACAGGTTTCTATCAATGGATTTTTTAAAAAACAATTTGAATCATTCTTGTTTTCTTTTTTTTTTTTTTTTTTTTTTTTTTTTTTTGAGACAGAGTCTCACTCTGTTGCCCTGGGTAGAGTGCCATGGCATTAGCCTAGCTCACAGCAACCTCAAATTCCTGGGCTCAAGCGATCCTCCTATGTCAGCCTCGTGAGTAGCTGGGACTATAGGTGCATACCATGATGCCTGGCTAATTTTTCTATTTTTTGTAGAGATGGGGTCTTGCTTTTGCTCAGGCTGGTCTCAAACTCCTGACCTCAAGCTATCCTCCCACCTTGGCCTCCCAGGGTGCTAGGATTACAGGTGTGAGCCGCCATGCCCGGCCTGAACATTCTTATTAATATTTTAGTCCCTCCTCCCACCCTCTCCATCTATCTGAACATTTATGTTCAAAACTCTGTCTACCTTCTGGCTGCCATTGTCTTGATATCATGTCTTTTGTGTGTCAGTCTTGTTGATTTTGTGCTTTAGCATAGTTAATTTATTAATTTATGTTTTCCTTTTGTATTCTTCTTTTAGTGCCTTCCTTCATCCTGGTCGTTTTGACATGCAAGTTATAGTTCCAAGGCCAGATGTAAGAGGTCGGACAGAGATTTTGAAATGGCATCTCAATAAAATAAAGTATGATCAGTGTAAGTTTAATTCTATAATATAATCATTATTATCTCTATAAAATGGTAATATACCCATCCATCTTATTTGTGGTGAATACATGATAAATGTAGTAAAAGACCAGTTCATTTTTATGTCCCCCCCCCACACACCATTTGTATGTTGTTTTATTTTTTTTTATTTTTTTTATTTTTTTGAGACAGAGTCTCACTCTGTTGCCCTGGCTAGAGTGAGTGTCGTGGCGTCAGCCTAGCTCACAGCAACCTCAGACTCCTGGGCTATTCAAGACAGACTATAAATCAACTTCTTGCTGAAATAGATAAGTAATTGAGTCTTCCTTTCTTGGTTGAATATGGTGATGCCTCGTAACATTTGATATATGTAGACTTCATTTTACACAAATTGTTTCCATAAGCGTTTGACAACATTCTAGAGATATGAAAATTATTATGTGTATAGGCAACAGGTTAGTCCCTCATGTAAGAGGTCAGAGCAGGCTTTTCTCTCAGTAGTGTATTGTTTTCATTACTAATTGGGTATTTTGAATATCAGCTTCTCTTATTCAATTTGTGATTTTTATACCTTTATTCACTTGCTATACTTATGATAGAAAATCATCGATTAAAGCTGAGACTAATATTCTATTTGAAGAAGTAAAAGGGCATGTGTGCTGGTTTCCACACAATTTATGAATAGTTTGAGTGTTGCAGTAGCTTTAAAACTTACATCAATGTTCATAATATAAAAAGCAAGAGCTGGCATTGCTTTGAACGATGTAAGACATTTTGGAACCAAATGAGAAGTCTGGGAGCAAATAAATTTAATTGGTGTACTTGAAAGTCATTTTTCACAGACTAATCAGGCACCCAAGCATTTTGTGTCAGGTCGTCTTTTCTTAAGCAGACCAGATATTGTGAAGGTATCTAATTAAAGATGATTGGTGGTTTATTATCAATGCCTTTTCTTGGCTGTTATTAAGATTAATGATAAACAATATTATGTTGAGCATTGCTATATATGTGCTATGCTTTGATTTTCAGTGAAAAGGTACTCTTTTTTCCTAGTTTAAAACCCCCCGAAGGTGTTATCATCATTGGAGCCATAAACTTCCCAGAGGCACTAGATACGTAAGTGTTAAAATAAAACTTTTGTGGAGTACTATTAACATGCTTTAACGTCATGATAAAAGAAGAATCCCATTACAAAAGATCACATTGTATGATTTCATTTATATGAAATGTCAAGAATAAGCAAACCTACAGAGACAAATTAGATTAGTGGTTGCCAGAGGCTTGGAGGAATGGGGAGTGGAGTGATTGTCAGTGGATATGGGATTTCTTTTTGAGGGGATGAGAATATTTAAAATTAGATTGTGGTGATCATTGTACAAGTCTGAATGTATTAAAAACCACTAAATTACCTACTTTAAATTCTGTTATGTGAATTACATCTCTTACGATTTCTTTTTTATTATATACCACAAAAGTTTTAGGTGGAGAGCATTTTAAAAACACATTTAGTGTGGTATTGAAATTAGCTTTAAGTTCAAATTACTATTAAGGCCAGGCACGGTGGCTCATACCTGTAATCCTAGCACTCTGGGAGGCCGAGGCGGATGGATTGTTTGAGCTCAGGAGTTCAAGACCAGCCTGAGCAAGAGTGAGACCCTGTCTCTACTAAAAATAGAAAGAAATTAGCTGGACAACTAAAAATAT